TGATGGCTGCATAGTATTCCATTGTGTATATATACCACATCTTCTTTATCCATTCATCTGTTGATGGACATCTAGGTTCTTTCCATAGTTTGGCTACTGTGGACATTGCTGCTATAAACATTCGGATGCACGTGCCCCTTCGGATCACTACGCTTGTATCTTTAGGGTAAATACCCAGTAGTGCAATTGCTGGGTCATAGGGTAGCTCTATTTTCAGTTTTTTGAGGAACCTCCATGCTGTTTTCCAGAGTGGCTGCACCAGCTTGCATTCTCTTAGGGAAAAATTTTAAATAAATGGAATGTCAAATATTTTTCCTTCTAAACATAAAAAGTTACTCCCAAGTGATAGACTAACAATGCACGGTCACTGTGCTGTCCTCATGGGGACCGTGCAGACCCAGGACCAGCAGCTGGCTGACAGGCCAAGGAGAAGCAGGAAGGGGCTGTGTGGAGCTGGGGGAGCTGCCTCCGGGGTCCTGTGTCTCCTGGCCAGGGGGTGGCCCGTTCGGGGTGTCTAGAGGGTACTGGCATGTAGGCAAACATATCTCACACTCTGCCAGACCCCATGAAAATCGGCAGTGGACCCATTTGCCTCGCAGCTTCCGTGCCCTGGGAGAGGCAGTGCCAGAGGGCCTCTCCCCTACCCCACCAGCCTCTCCTCTGCCAGCCCTGCCCCCTGCCCCCTGCCCTGCTGCCCACTGCTCTGGCCCCCTGGGAATACATTACGTCTTTCTGCAAATTTCAGTTGTGTTTGTTTTTCCTTCTTTAGACACCCACTTGGGATATTTATCCTTACTGGACGCTGACTACGACAGACGCCCTCCAAACAAACATTTCGCACAGGCAGTGAACTATACGGTGTGTTTCCAGTGGGTGCGGTGCCTCTTCTGGGAAGAGAGGGAGTGGAAATCCGCAGGGTTCTCTCCACGGCCAGGAACATCTCCGGAGAAAGTGAGCTGCAGGTACAGACGTACTGTTGAGGACAAACTGGAGACTTTTAGAAGTTCACTGTACTTTCTTCCGCATGGGGCCCGGTGCCTGGCCTCCCTGGCCCCCAGTCTCTGTGAAAACGGCTGCAGTACCTGGTTCGTGTGCCCTCCCCGTCTGCGGGCCCGGCTCCCCCCGGGCTGCAGCCTCTCGGAGAGCAGGGTCTGGCTTTCTAGGGCTCTTGTGCCCCCCGCCGAGGCGACGGCTGTAGACGTCTGTTGAAACGCGCCCGTGGGTGGACGGTGGTGCCGTGTCTGGTTGGTGGCTACGTGTCTGCCCACAGCGGGGCTGGGCTTACACCTGCCGGGCTCTGGGCTGACCCAGACCGTACACCGTGTGCACACTGAGCCATCCCGTGAGGTTAGAATGACTAGAACCCGTCAGCCTTTCTGCCCCTCCTTTAACCCGCGTACATGACACGGTAGACGCCGCTCTTGGCACACGTTTGGCGTCCTAACCCGTGCCTCCCTCCCAGCTACGACCGCCTCGCGCCGGCTTCTGTGACGAGAAGAAGCCTGAATGCCACCTTTTCAATGAGTGACGTTTCCAAGTGGCAGAGGTGAGTTCTGTTTTCTAGATCACGGATGCGTGAAACCCATGTCACCTGTTACTGTTTTGAGTTTTGGAATCTTCTCTGTCTGTCTGTCCATCCCTACATCCATGGACAGGAGACACAAAGCCCGAGAAAGTCAGCATACGTCCCATCCAACTCGGCTTCGGTTCACCGGGACCCTGGTCGGTGGGCACTCACTGGGGCAGTCTCGTCAGCGAGGACACGGTGTGTGCCCTTCTGGTTTGTGCGTTTTCATAGCTCCCTCTTCCTCTTCAAAAGTCCCCTTTTAGCTGCTTTTTCTAACTCACGACCCCAGGATCAAGAATCACACACTCTTCTACTGAGCCAGCCAGGCGCCCCAAAAGTGTCCCAGTTTAGATAGTGGATTTCAACTCAAGCTTGTTTCTGTGGCACATGTTTTACACAGAACACATGTATTTGGATTCTGAACTGTGGGTGAGTAGAGGGTGAGCTTGTGCGGGCAGGAGCCCGCTGCCCAGTCACGCATACGGAGCCCCGACCGGGCTCGGCCACAGCAGACACCGAGTGGGGGTTTGCGGAATGAGTATCGGTGGCCGGGTCGGCATTTCCTGCAGAGCGTTGGGTCTCCCTCATGCTGATGTAGTGGGGAACCTTCCACGCTGTGTTACTGAATCAGTCGTCAAAGAGCTGATTGCTTTGTAGACCAGCCAGAGGGTCACTGACACCACAGGTGCTGGGGACAGTGAGGCCACCAGGCGTCCAGCGAGTGGGACTCAGGACAGCTGTTCAACTGTGCTTTCAGATATGACTTGAGGGGGGACAGGACTTGGGGACACCCAGATAAAAGGCAGCACCTCGAGTCAGGCAGAGACAGGTGCATTCTGGGGGACCAGCGTCCCTGTGAAGCACCTGCCCTCGGAAACCCATCAGAGTCCCGTGAGACTCCAGGTCAAGGTCCTGGCACTAATGACTCGCAGTGGACCCCACTCTGTGGGTCTGGAGGGATCTGGCCAGCTCCAGTGCCGGGAGCAGGAGGCGAGGGCCAGGTGCGGTGGGGAGCAGGCAGCCCGACCACGCACGGTGGGAGGGACGGGGCGCGTAGGCAGGATCTCCAAGAGGGAGGGAGTGTCTGATACGCCCACATGAAGCACTTTGCGGACATCGTTCTCCTGAGTCTTCACATAAGCAGCAAGATGGCTGTTCTACCTCGTTTCACCAAGAAAGGTCCTCGGAGAGAGGCCCTGAGTGGCTGCCCCGCACGGGCTTCAGATGCAGAAGCTGGTGTCTCACCAGCCGTCTCTGTCTGAGTCCTTATGCCTGAGTCGGCCTCCAGTGGCTCCTTTCCCTGAGGGACTCAGACCTGTCCTAGCATGAGGACGGCAGAGGCCTCGCAGCCCCCTCCACCCTTCCCTGCTTGGTCTCCTGCCCCAGTAAGAATCTACTTTCTCCTCGCAGTTACGAGACAGACAAGCATTTACAAACGTATCAGTGGAGACCAGCGTGGGCTGCTCTGTGTGTGTGAGCGTGTGGGTGTGCTTGTGGGTGTGCGTGCATGTGAGCCAGCGCTGAGGGGCATTGGTTAGTCTTTGCCCGAATGTTTATTTCTATAATTCACCACTTGTTCCTCTCCTCTCATTTACAGACGCCTGGAGAACCTGCTTCCCGGCATTTTGATTGTCGTTTTTACGGTGCTCTATGCACTTCTGGTTACTAAAAGCAGACGTGAAGATTTTCAGGAGAAGGAGAAAGCTGGTTACATTTTTCTGCAAGAAGATGCTCCTCCCGGCCATCAGCTGTACGCACTTGTCGTGGACACAGGCTTCCGGTCCCCTGCCCGCTGCAGTGCCAAGGTAAGTGGGTCATCCTGGCACTTGCACTCTGTGGTGTGCAAGGTTGTGGATGGCGTGAGTGACGGCCCCGACACGCCCCACGTGGAGACTGACCTTCCCAGCTGCCCCATCTTCCTCCATGCAGAGTCGGGGGCTCCTTTCCCCCACCGTGCACTCCCTCGTGCCTGCCAATGTGAGCCCTCCTTGTCCTCAGGGCCACCCCCCAAGCCTCGGCCCCTCCACCTTCTCCGTGGAGAGCAGCCAGCACGTCCAGCCCTGTGTGAGACAGACGGACAGACGAGGGCATGCGGCTATAGCTGGAGCTGGGCATCACGGGGCAGGATGGGAGGAAAAGTGGCCATTCCACAAGATACTGGGGGACCGTGGCTTTTCCTGTGGAAGAAAGCCCTAGTAAACCCCTACTTCGCGTTACACTCCAAAGCAGCTCCACAGACTGGAGACTTGCAGACTAAAACAAAGTTTAGAAACTTCTCGAAGAAAATGCGTGCTCTGCGATGGGGAAGGATTTTAAAAACTGGAAATAAATAAGGAACTTTCCTAACTGAAAGATTGATCGTGTGTTTCTGGGCCACAGAACCCACCCCGGTGGGGAGTCGTGAACCCCGCGCAGCTGGGAAAGTGTGTCTGCAGGCACCTCATCTAGCCCGGTCATGGTCACAGCCCCCGGAGGGCCCTCAGGCCTTCCCCGTCTCCGTCTGAGCCGAGGGATGAGGACGCGCCCACTGTCTGTCCGCTCCCTCCTGAGATCAACACATGCCCTAGGGAATCCGAGTTGCCATCTGGCTCTTCTAGATCAAATACGTAGAAATCTGGCCAGCCTGGCAGGACAGGCGCTCTTTCCCGGGCCTCTGCTGGGGAAGCATGGGAGGGGCCATGCAGGGACAGGACTGGGTGTCCCCTTGGTCCCTCGGGCCGGAAGGCTCTGGAAAGGCTGGGGGCTGGCAGGCGATACCCCTTTCTGAGTCAGCTTAGTGTTTTGTGTCCAGAATCTCAAACCCCTACCTTGTGTTTTTGTCTCGAGGTTTACATTGTTCTACGTGGTGAGAACGGGTCTTCAGAACCCAGAGAACTCTATTGTCCGGAGAAGCCCCTGTTCGAAAGGAATTCCAGACACACTTTTGTCCTGAGGTGAGCAAGGCCCGTCCCAATGGTGTAGCTCTGTGCACAGACGGTCTTACGAAGTCGTTCACGGTGCTGTTGGACGTAGATTCGTGCGGGAGTGTGTGAGGGGGTGCTAGTTTACACACTGGGGGTGCTCAGACGGCACGGTGCCCGCTCAGCTAATTTGGGTCCCCCTACATTGGGAAGAGCAAGGACCCGTGGCCGTGCAAAGACCATAGTGTGGCTGGACGGGGAGGGGCCACTTCCCAGGAGTCCAAGTGGTTCAGACAATGGGGAGAAGCTGCACTAAATGCTTTTCTCCTGGAGAACCTCGTGTACGGTCTGTGTCGGTCTGGGTCCTGTCTTCACTAAGAATAGGTGAGCTCCAGACTCGTCCACACCGGACACAGATGTGTGAGGGAGCTGGGGTGGACGGGGCTCTAGGGGGCTGGCGGGCGCGCGGGAGTGGAGCGTGGGATTACTGACCAGCATGGCCAGGGGCCCGCGGGAGCTCCCTGTCCGCGCACCATGCTCCAGAGAGGGTCCGTGGGTCCTAGCGCATGGCTCGACAGGTCCGAGGTGCCTCCGAGGGTGAGAATTGAGGCTGAGGCTGCCCTGTGGGGCGCCCACCGCCCAGACCCTGTCCTGACTGTGGCTGCTGTGTGTCCTCAGCGCCCCCGCTCTGCTGGGCCCGCTCCGGGGCATCCGCCTCTGGCACGACAGCCGTGGGCCCTCCCCGGCCTGGTATGTGAGCCACGTCATGGTGGGAGAGCTGGGGCCTGGGCCCAGGAGGAGCTGGCTCTTCCCCGCCGAGTGCTGGCTGGCCGCGAGCAGGGACGACGGCCGTGTGGAACGGGAGCTGGGCTGCCTGCGCCGGGGCCTCGGCTTCCGGAAGGTAGGTGACCGGCCGGCCGGCTGCGATGCCGGCGCTGCTTCTCCCTGCGGCTGTTTCCTAAACCGCACTGCAGCTGGCGTCAAGGTGGCCGTGCTGTCAACGGGGCATCGAGCGGGCCAGCGCGCGCGAGGATGAGTCCTCCTTCAGGCACTGCTGTGCTGACGTAATAACACTCGCATAATTTACTGTTGCCCGAGGTCTGCAGGGTCCAGAGGGCCACTAGGTAAGGACGGCAGCGCCCTGTGCATCCTGAACCCCAAGATGGCCAGGCAGCCGTACGAGCGTGACCTGGGGGCTGAATGCACGCGATCAAGAGCAAGGACAGGACCAAGAATCTCACCAAACACCCATGAGACTCGCTCTACCCGCGTCCCCGATCTTCCAGGAGAGAGTTTGGTCCAGTCAGGATGACACTTAGGCATTTTACACTTAAGGCGAATTGTCCCCGTGACTTTTCTGTAGACTCGTCACTGAAGGGCCGGGTGTGCCAGCTGGACATGGTGGTTCTCTTTCCTGTAGTCGTAGAGACACCTCGACGGGGACTTTGTGTTCCCAGAGCCCAGTTTCGCAGCTGGTCTCAGGCGGGCGGAGGCCAGGGAGGGCTGGTGTCCTCCCACGTCACCAGATCCTTCTTTCCAGCGTGTCCCTGTCACCACCTGTCATGGGCGAGAGGGCCGGGCTCACCACGTGGGCACTGCCGACAGAGTAAGACAATGACCACGGGCGCGGGCAGTGTGGAAAGTCTTCAGCCCCGCACAGCTGAGGGCCTGGCTCGGCCGGCACCTTCCCTCAGACCAGTGTCTGTGCGCCATCATGACGGACAAAACAGTCGCGCTCATGCTCCAGCTGTTCCGCTTGAGAACTTGTGGGGAGAAGTCTGTACGTGTTAGTCCTGAGACCACCTGTTGGCCAGTCCACTGATGAAGATACATTCTTTTTTTCGTTCTAAAGATTTCATTTATCCATTTGAGGGGGAGAGTGAGAGAGAGCATGAGAGGGGAGAGGTCAGAGGGAGAAGCAGACACCCTGTGGAGCTGGGAGCCCGATGCGGGACTCAATCCCGGGACTCTGGGATCATGACCTGAGCCAAAAGCAGTCGCCCCACGGACTGAGCCACATCCTGAAGATATATTCTCATCCCGTTAAACCTGTTTTCCCTGGATTTGGCTCTGTGTTCTAATGCTCATCGCGGTTTTCCTAGACTAGCGTTGAGCACCGAGCACTCCTCGGGTTGAACTGAACCTTTTGTACCCAGCGCGATTCTGTAGGTGGCGAGCTGCCCGCCATGTGGCCGACCCCGCAGGGCTGCTGAGGACAGCCAGGGCCAGGCACGCTCCCAGCCCACAGTGCACTCAGAGCCCAGTGAAAATCACCTGTGTTGCAGGCAGCGTGCTGGGAACGGGGAGGGCTTGTAGACAGAGGCTCCGTGGGGCAGGGCGTGAAGGTGCTCAGGGGTGAGACGGGAGAGGCAGAGGGACAGCTTGTCCCAGAGCCGCGGGTGCCCCAGCGCAGATCCAGGGTGCCGAGTGAGGGCCTGGGAGGCCCAGCGACGGGCCGACGAGCTGACAAGCTAGTGGCATCACCCAGAGAATCACTGCCCGCCTACCCGGAGTTCTCGCCGTTGGCCCAGCGTCTCTCTCCCGGTCTGTTTCAGCTCTTGTATTCCAAGTTCACGGAGTATCTGGAGGATTTCCACATCTGGGCCTCCGTGTACAGCCGGCCGTCCCCCAGCGGCTTCCCGCACACCGCGCGCCTCACTGTGGCCTTCGCCTTGCTGTGCGCGTACGCCTGTCTCGCCGCCCTGCTCACGGCGGCAGGACCAGAGCAGGTGGGAGGCCCTGGATTCTCCTGGAAGCGGCTTCCGCTTCCCAGACTGGCCATCGACAGGTTCTCAGCCCTGGCATTAGCGAAACTCACAGTCCTGGCAGAAAGGTTCCAAGTCGGGGGAGGGAGCCCAGTGCCTTGAGTGCCACAGAGGGGAGGCTGGCCTGGACGGAGCCAGGGGTGGGGGGTGGGGGCCGACACAGGCCTCCCTCCTTGATCTCTGCCATGCAGAGCTCGCGCCCTCCTGCCACGGAGTGTGACTTCTCCAGAGCGAGCAGTCTGGACTGTCCCCAGAGCACACTCCTGGATTTTTTTTTTTTCTAAAGTTGGCAGTTATTTCAAATTTGAAAAATCCTCTGGCCAGATAAATCTGTGCAGGCAGCAAGAATTTGAAAGGCAGGGTCCAGCTAGGACAGGAACAGGGCGAGGTCCTGAACTTGCCCTCCCCTCTGGGGTGGACCCTTTGTCTGATCTTCTCTGCTCATGTTCGGGACATAGAATGTGTCCGGGACACGGACGCCTTCTCATCAGATCGTGGCAAGGACTCAGCCAGGGGCGCAGGAAGCTTGCCCAGCAGGAAGTGGGCACGCAGCACACGTTCGTTCAACCTGGAGAGACGTGTATTTTAGAAAAACAGAGGGATTCCTTGCAAGTTTCCATTGTTTCCAAGGGTTTAGGGAGACAGAGCTTTGGTTAAACACAGGGTACCCGTTTACCTTAAAGACGTCGGTGACTACAGCGGACGCGTTCCCCGTGTCCCCACTGCTGTCTTCCTACAGCTCCCATGGGCTCTCGGCACCCTCCATGCCGCCGCTGGGTCCTTCCAGACAGGGCTCCTGTGCTCGCTGCTGGCTGCTCCCGGGGCACAGCTCCTGTCGCTGCTCCTGAGGCTCAGCCAGGTACGGGGCGGCCCGTCCACATGCCCTGCTGGCCCGGGTCCTCCACACAGTAGCATGCCCGCCCCCAGCAGCCTCCTTCCTTCTGCAGGAAGCCAGCAGGCTGTTCCGTGCGCAGCCCTGCCTGCCCCTGAGAAGAGCGCCAGCCGAGGCAGCTCAGGGTAAGTGTGTGTTTAGAAAAAGCCTGGAAGTGTTTCCTGTTCGTTTACAAACCACAGCGATGGCTAGTGGTGAAGTCTCCGCCCTCTATCCTGCAGAGGACACCACGTGTCTCCCGTTCCCCCGTCCCCCATGTTCGCTGTTGTTCACTGCGAGGACAGCGAGCTTTACTCCGTCCGCGTGAAAGCCTCACAAGGCGCCGTGCAGCCCATGCCCCGCGGGCGGGCCACACTGGCAGCCACGTCCCGTGTCTCAGGGAGGCCTATTTCCCAGGCTGTCTCCCAGAGACCCTAGATTCTGGCTTTAACGTCATAACTCGGACTTTGTTTAAATCAGGCCCTCACTCCCGCGGGAGGACGGCAGACGCCCACAAGATGCAAGAGGTAAATACAGCTGTGCGTCTCTGTGTCTCTGTGTTTCTCTGTGTCTCTGTGTTTCTCTGTGTCTCTGTGTCTCTGTGTCTCCCTCGGCCGTGGCCTGGACACGGCTGGTCAGGCCCAGGGTGGGGACCCCGAGCAGGGTGGATCCTGCGGAGAGATGGGCCTGTTCCCCAGGGAGCTCGAGGCCCGCTGTCAGGAGCCCCAGCGGAGGCCACGCGAGAGGGCTGCGGTTGCTGGTTTGTCCTGACGTGTGGGGGACGTGTGGTCCTTGTGCTTTCCAATCTCCGCCTCCCCACTGAGAGCTCCCGCTTGTACAGGCCTCGGTGCCCTCTGCTCCCCTGTGTGGGGCCGCCTCTCTGCCCTGCCACAGTGAGCCTTGCCCGAGCCCTGTGCTGGCGGGTCCGGGTCGGGCTCCCGGAGGGCCCCTGGCATCCGAGGTGGCTGCAGCCATCCCGTCCTGGCCTGTGGGCGCCCCGCCACCCTCTACAGATGCGAGTGAGCTGGTCCCAGGATGGCCTGCGCCTCCTTCCCAGAACCTTCCCCAGCCTGAGGCTCGTGGAGGTCACGGCCCAGCTCCTAAGAAAGCTCACAAGCCGTGCCATGGAGAACACGATATGGCAAGGGAACTGCGGGCGCCGAGGTGTTAACCTCACCCCGACCTTGTCTCTTCCAGGGTCAGGGCCTCTCGGGGCACGCCAGGGCCCACGGGAGGGCAGCAGGTGGCCGAAGTGCGGGCTGTCCATCCCCAGAGCGGGGGCCCCGCGGAGCTGACCCCGGCCAGCAGGCTCCGAGGGAGAAGGGGACCCACAGCATTCTCCATGTGCAAGGTGACGTTGGGTACAATGCTGGGCCCCTTCTGTATCCTCGGCCGCTGGGTGACACAGGGGTCACACAGCGGGAGCTGTGTCCAATGAGGCCGGACGCTCTGGTCACATGGACACCAGGCCCGTCTGAAACAGCCGTGGGTTCGGTTCCCAAGTCCTGACCGTTTCTGCTGTATACGCACGTGGGTTTGCTCACGTCTTTGAAAAGGTCAGGAACAGGCTTCAGTTGCTGTGGAGCAGCGTGACTTGCGACAGCTTCGGATGAGCCAGTAGCTCAGCGGAGAACCAGTGGGGACGGGGCCCCCAGGGGGCAGCCAAGCCTCCGGTCAGTGCTGTCCAGGGGGGCCGTCCGGGGCCTGGCCGGACAGGTGCGCGTGGCTGTGGGGCCCAGGGCTGCGGGTGCGTGAGCAGTGTACTTCCCGGCTCCCTGTCACCCAGGTTCGGGCGCTGACCGTGGACAGTGCTCCGTGGACCGTGGTTGGCGAGGTGGCAAGGGCAGCGGGAGGCAGCCGGGTGTGGCTGGGCTGACCCTCAAGGCACCCCGTGCACTGGGGTGTGGGGTATAAATCCCCTGGCTTCCGTGTGTGGATGGGACCTGGGATTGGCGGCCTGCAATGCCGGGGCTGGTGGAATGAGGAGGGCACACGCCCTGGGGATGGCACCCCACACTCATGCCCGGCCAGGGTGGGGGGTGGAAGAGCACAAAGGCTCACGCCCCACCGACTGGACATGGGGGAGGTCCTCGAGACAGGACAGCGCCTGAGCTCCGGTGTCCCCGTTGTACGTGCAGCAAGTGTCCTTCCCTTCCCCTGCCCAGCGTCCCCTCCCCGGCGGGTGCTCCTGAGTCTGTGTCAGCTGACCGCCTTCTGCCTCCAGACGGGCCCTGGGGGGTCTTCCTATTGGAGCAATCGCCTGAGAAAGTGGGGCTCCATGACTTCCTCTTGGAGACGTGAAAACAGGCAGGGACCCTCTGATCATGTGCTCAACCCCAGGGGACTCACCCAGTGGAGCCTGCAAGAGGCCGCTGCTGCCACATGGTCCCTCCTCTACGCGCTGTCCTCCCCTCCCCCTGCTCCTCCTTCCCCCTCCTCTCTGCTCTTGTCCTCGCCCTCCCCCCTTTCTCACCCTTCCTCCTCCTCTCCTCCCCCTTTTCTCTTCCCTCTCCTCCCCACTCCTCCCCCTCCTCCCCCTCAGCTCCTCCACCTCCTCCCTTGCTCCCCCCATTCCCCCTCCCGACTCCCCCGTCCCCTGACCCCCCCCAACCCTTCCGCTTCCTCCCCGCTCCTCCCTCCATCTCCTTCACGCGCACAGTGGAAACGCTAACCTGTGGCCCGGACTGTGGCATCGGGCTGATGGAGAACGCTGAGTGCGAAAAGCGCTCTGCCCTAAGGACCTGAGGAAGTAAGGCCCCTTTCCATCTAGGCCGGGGAGGGTGGTTGCTACACGCAGCCGTGTCACTGCTGTGTAGACCTGGCTGCTCTGCGCAAAATTGCAGGTCTGTGGCACTGGGTACAGGGTGTGGGAAGGGCGCGTGTGTACATACAAGGAACCAGCTCGCTCGCTCATGGGGGTGGGCAGGTCTGAACGCCCCATGGTCCACAAGCTGGAGACCCAGGAGCACCAGTGTTTCAGTTCAAGTCCCAAGACAGGAGAAGGCAGGTGTCCTGCTCAAAAGCCCTCGGGCAGGAGGAATTCTCTCTTCCTCCGGAAGGTTGGCCTTTCCTTGTATACCAGCCTTCACCTGATTGGATGAGGCCCACCCACACTGGGCAGGCAGCCCGCTTTCCTCTGTCCAGCCGTTTACATGTTCATCCCCCTAGAAACCCCTCACGGACATGCCCAGAATACTGGTCACCCGATGTCTGCACACCCACGGCCCAGGCCCACTGACAGAATTAACGACCACACTTGGGTGGACGGAAGTGATGAGGTCTCTTACACGTACCTCTTCCTGCTCTCCCTTAGCCCCCGACAGCGGACTTGGAGGACTCGCTGCTCTCCGGTGGCTGCGGGCGCTGCTGCCTTGGTCAGCATCCGCGGCGTGGGCCGTTTGTGGGATTGTCTCCGTGGCCTGTGGCGTAGGGACGGCATTTCTAGGATACAGGTAACCAGTCACGGTTTTCAGATGTCCCTGAGTCTGGACAGGAGAGTTCAGACTTAGCAAAAACCTCCATGTGTTTCTGGTAACGCAACGTGTGGGCCCAGATGGGCTATTGCAATTTTGGTCCTCGTTTCTCCCTCCCATGGCCCTGGGGGTAAGGAATTCGTGTACAAACCCCAAAAGGCCACTGGGCCCGGCCAGCTCTGGGACAGCAGTCTGGCCTGGACGGAGTCCCGGTGGATGAGAGGCCGGGGAGAAGGGAATGCCGCTGCAGAGCTCCTGAGACACTGTGCTCTGGGCCAGGTGTACTGGTACAGTGATTCCCGTCTGTCTGTCCACACCGTGGCCTCTCCCGTCTGGTTCCCTGGGCAGCTTGGGTCCCCGGTGTCCCCGGGGCGGTCCAGCGGGGCTCCCGTGGGGCAGGGGGAGCTTCCCTCTCCTCCCACCCCAGCTCCTCCCTTTCTACACGATGACGGCAATGATGGCGGGCAAGTTACTTAGAAAACAAACCAACAAAATCCTCTGTGACTCAGTTTGCTCAGCTGGGAAATGGGAAAACCCACAAGGTTTTAGGAGGAGCTACTGAAACCCTCCGTCCTCGCCACCTGGCACCTGCTCAGTGCTCTGCAGATGCAAACTTTATTGTCATTATTATAACCAACACCCCCCAACCCCTGCCCCTATCCGCTCCGTGCTCTCCACGTCCCTGTGCTGGCTTTTCCTTTCTCTTCCATGCTCAGCAGCTTCACGGGGTTGACGTCCCACCGGACCCCTCCCGACAGAACCTCCCCCACATCGGGCAGAACGACGGGATGGCCAGCTCCACAGCCCCCTCCCCGCTGCGGCCCCACTGCCGCCTGCCGCCCGGGCCCTCGAGCACGATGTCCCCATGCACACGCAGGCGGGCGCTGATGGCTGTTGTCTCTGGGGGGACAGGTTCGACCCGACTCAGTGTGTGCGCTGGCTGCACCTGCTGACGGTGTCCGTGCTGTGCTGTGTTTTCGTCACGCAGCCGCTTCTGGTGAGCGTGGGGAGGGGGCCTCCTGCGGGGTCACTGTGCATCAGCGGGCCCTGGGAGTGGGGGAGGGCTCCACGTTCCTGACCCATGATCCCATGTCTTCGCATTTGACTGAGTGTGAGGAGAACGTGGGAGACAGGCCTGTGCCGTGCTGTCCACACACACATCCCAGGACGGGGGGCGTCTCTTGAACCCCATTTTCACTCGAGGACACGGAGCCTGGGGAACGGGGGGCCTGGGAATCCCAGGCGGGGACACTAGCTTGTGTAGGATCGTGACTGGGGACGTGGGGCAGTGACCGTGTACGCATCGTCGGGCCTCTCCTTCCAGGTGGGCCTCGCGGCCCTGGGCTTTGCCTGGAGAAGGAGAGATGACGCGCACTTCTTCACCGAATCCCTGCACGCGGCCACCAGAGACCTGCACTCGGAGCCGGAGGAGTGTGCAAGTTCCCATGCGCCCCACCCTGCCAGCCAGATGGCGGAGGTGAGGCCGCCATCCATGCCCCACCCCAGCCCTGCCCCGCCCATTCGGGCGTACTCTGTGGATTCAAAGTCAATGGTGTTTTGGGGTATGATTTAGTTTTTTATGCTCCTTTGTGTGCACAGACGCACTGGGTGAACACAGGATCCGTTTCCTTCCTTCTACCCCATCCCAAAGAAATCAGACCATCGAGAACGTGAGCTTAGTTTAAGCTATTGAGGCCAATGAGAAGGAATGCTTGGCCATAATTTTAGAGAACTTCGAGGTCTGTCAAGGTGCAGCATTGATGTGGGGCTGGCGCCGCACCTCCTGAGAGCAGCATGTCTCTAAGCCAGGTGGACCCGAGGGGATGGCTGTTGATTCCTTGAATCCGGGACACCTGAGTGCCCACGCTCCCGAGGTGTCCAGACCGGTGTCCTGTCCCCCACAGGACTCAGGATGGTGCATCAGCTGTAAGGGAGGAGGGTCCCAGGCCTGGGGTTCCACATCTGTGACTTCCCAGGACGAAGGGTCCCTGATTCCGTAGGTGTCCCAAGCACCTGACCCAGGCTGTCGTCCGACGGCGCCAGACCGGCTCCTGCACAGTGAGACTGCCCACAGAGCTGGCCTGGGCCAGGAAAGGACTTTGTGAACGGCCCACTGCCCACCAGTGTGGTGTTGGTGACCCACACAAAGTGTCCCTGTCCCCAGCCCCAGGAGGCACAGACAGCGCTGCTGATCCCTGGGCTTGGCAGGAGTGCCGGAGCTCCCCGCCCTCACCCTACCCCCATCCGTGGCCCCAGCTCACAGCACTATCGTCCCCACAGATGCTGGCCGCCCGACAGCGAGCTCGCCGCCTACGCTGGGCACGTCCGCCGTCCGCGGCCCAGCTCAGCGCCGTCAGGGAGAGGACGAGAAGAGAGACCGGGACACGGGTGGCCCTGAGGTGGGTGGCAGCCAGCCAGGCCTTGCTCTGCTCCCACAGCCCCTGGGGGCAGGGTGTACAGCTGGGGCCCAGCTGCAGGGGAGGGGCACCTAGGGAAAGTGGGTCCAGAGACAGTAGGTCTGGAGCGAGGCTGAAGCCGTTCCTGCATATGCCGGGCCGAAAAGTCTGGAAAATGCTACAGAGATGAAAATGAGAAAACAGACGGAAAGTAACATGTTGTGACAGTAAAATGCAAACCCCAGTGTCCTTCATGCACACAGCGCAAGCCGGTAGAGGACTTGACAGAAGTCTCTACCACGGCCAAGGAATAAAATACCACAAACACACGCGGGCATCGCCGCGAGAGGAAATGCCCACGAGTTCCACAGGAAAGCACCAGCGGTCCTGAAACGCACAAATGTCCCGTGAACATCGCGTCTTCTCCAGCTCTGTCCAAATCCGTGTCTGCCTTCAACACAGTCCCCCAAAGACCTCGAGACCTTTCTTTTCTTCCTTCCCCTTCTCCTTGACCAGATCTGGTCAGTTGCGCAGTCCCTTGGGGCCGGCCGCGGGGAGCCAAGGAGGGGAGCGGTGGGGGCTCGCTCTGCCAGCCGTGACCGGAGCCCAGGCCCCCACTGCAGAGTGTGGCTCTGCGCGCAGACAGCGGACAGCCCCGGAGACGCGGGTCGGAAATCCAGAACCAGACCCGAGTAAAAGGGCCACAGCACACGAGTCCACAAACTCATTCCCCACGAATAAAGATCTAAACGTGACAAAACCATACACGTCCTGGGCGAACGCGCGTGTCCGTGTATGACCTGCGGGCGAGGAAAACCTCCTGTGACTTAGAATCCAGAAAGGACAAGAGAAAGCAGATTTGGTGACATGAAACTTGCAGAAGAAAATCTCGTGCGATGAGATTGATGACGTCATACGTTAGGTAAAAAAGCAGTGGCGGACGAGGAAGGATATTTGTAGCAGACGAAGGCTTAATCTTCAAATACAAAGAGGCTCCAGAAAAATGGAAAAGACCAACAAGCTCTTTAGAACAAAACCGGGCCCAGGACGCAGACGGCTCACCGAGAAGAGAAAGGCGGACGTCACTTGCACGTAGGATGCAAGATGACCAGTTAAAGTACCGAAGTCTGGAATCTGGTCCCCGTGCGGCGGCTGGTGAGCCTGTAGAGATGGGACGTCACGTGGTGCTGGTGCGGATGCACCTGGTCCCACCGTGGGGACTGGGAGGCGCCTCGCACAGGCACAGACGCACGGAGCTCCCCCAGCACCCCTGCTGCAGGGAGCCCATCAGCAGGACCCGGGAAGAACCAGGTGCAAGGCAGGTGGGACAGGACCCCCATAATAACCTGGGGGGGCCCAGGGGGCTCCGATGGTGGAGCGTCCGACTCTGGATTTCAGCCCAGCTCGTGATCTCAGGGTCCTGGGATCGAGCCCGTGTCGGGGTCCACGCTCAGCGGGGAGTCTGCTTCTCCCTCTCCCTCTGCCTCCCCCTGCTTTGCGTGCGCTCTCTCGCCGTCAAACACATAAATAAATAAATAAACGAGATCTTTAAAAGGAAAAGAGGGAGAGAGGAAGAAGTGTATATTATGTGTGTCCTGACCGAAACGGATCACCAAGAACGTAACCTACCCCAAACAGGCTGGTCTTAGTGTGACCACGTTCTTGTCCCAGTGTGTGGTTGACCAGAGAGCACACACTGTCCCTAGGAGGCAGGGCACAGAGAGGGAGGGGACAGCAGTTATCTCCACAAATAAGCCCCGAGACCCAGTAGAGATGGAAGTGCTGCCTTTGGGGTAAAGGAGACGCGGGAAGGAAGCAGTGAGTCGGGTCCACGGTGCGACAGACGAGTAAGAAAACTGTGCGCTCATCTCAACAGACGGGGAAGAAACCATTTGGCAAAATTCAACACCCGTTTACAGGGAAGAAAAATATCTCAGCAAACTGGGAATGGAAAAGAAATGCCCTCAAGTCACAAAGGGTGTCTGTGAAACCCTTTCACAGGGTTTCGTGCGCCTGGCCTCGTACTCGTGATGAGACAGCGTGTGCTTTTAAATATCAGGAACAAGGTGAGGAGCTCCCTGTGTCCGACGCTGATTAAACCTCACGTCGGAGGGCCGGCCGCAAGGAGGGGGCCGGAGGCAAGGAAAACACGACAGTCTCTTGCGAGAGGACATGAATCGTCTCTGCAGAAAATCTCGAATATTCTAAGTAAATTGAAGAAAACGTGCAGAATTGATATGTCAAAAACCACAAGACACTAATGGACGATCTCAGAGAAAAGCTAAAGAAATAGAGACACATGTCCCATGCACTGGGACACTTGTCTCGAGGAGCCCGTTCCTCCCGACTTGATCAGTCCCAACCAAAGCCCCACAAACTTTTCTGTAGCTGTTGGCGAGCTAATCTGAAAACTTACATGGAGAAGAACCAGAATAACCAAACCGATTCTGGAAAAAGAACAACAAAGCCAAGGGCTGGCTCTGCGTGGCTTTAGGGCTCACTACGAAGCGAAGCCACGGTAACCGAGACGCCGGTATTGGTGGTCGGTCAGCACACACACGCTCGGCTCTTTTCCTGACACGACACCGAGGCCCTTCGCAGTGGAGAACGGATTTTAGAAACGGTGCTGGGGAAATGGGATGGCGACGTGCAGAAGAAAATGCACACAGTTCACACCTTCTAGGAAAATTCACCCGGGGACTTAAAAGGATCTAAAAGCCCAGTTCCGAAACCTGCTTTGCTGGGTCTGGACCCCAGGGTCGGTGTGGGTGCTCACTGTGTGATGTGTTTCTCGTAGAGACACCTGCCTGTGCGTCCTCATGCTCCTTCTGCGCGCGCTTATACTCTGTGCGCAGCGTTCCTGGGACGAACGTTCTCTCGGTCAAGCCATCCGGAGTGAGTTTACGAGGTAGGAAGTGTTGTCCACCTTCTCCAGACCCCCGGCCACCGCACCAGCTGTTCGTGGCCAGCACATGCTGACGAGGGACCCAGAGGCCAGGGTTTCGGGGTGAGGGTTACTTCGTTATTTTGAACCAGTCGTGTCTGTCTGCTACTACAGTCTGTCCGGGAAGAAGGGGACCCCCAGATCATCGAGTGCTCGCCCTCAGGACATTTTAATTCTGCAAAACAGAGGCTCAGGGAAGGCGCTTGGCCACTGTCCCAGAAAGGAAATATGGAAAAAGTGGTCAAATTGCCTTGGGCACTGTTTCCCCCCGTTCATGGGAGGCCTCTCTTTGCAGACTTTGGGCACGTTCAAAGCATCTCATTTTGGTAATAGTGAAACGATATTTTGAGGCATGTTAGGGTCTGGGTGCGAAGACGCTAAGATAGGTTAGTGGGGTTGCTTTTGTGTGGAGGTTACAAGTTCCTCGACCAAAGACTTGCGATTCACAAGAAATGGCACACGATATCGAGTGGTGATAATTCCCCTCGAGTTCTCTACCGCTTCTCAAGTGCTCATTTGTTTCTTCCTACTTTTAAAAGCAGTAGATGCTGGGATGCCCGGGGGGCTCCGTGGGGTAAGCCTCTGCCTTCGGCTCAGGTCATGATCCCAGGGTCCAGGGATGGAGCCCCGCGTTGGGCTCCCTGCTCGGCGGGGAGGCTGCTTCTCCCTCTGCTCCTCCCCCAACTCGTGCTCCCTCTCACTCTCTCTCAAATAAAATAAAATCTTAAAAATTAAATAAATAAAAGTAGCAGATGTTCGTTGTAGGTAAATATGGAAGGACAAGCAGAAAACCCTCAAGGACAGTCCCACCCAGAAGCAACCACGAGCAGCACTTTGCAGTGCCAGAATTTTCTCCACGTTTCAGCCTTTCTGAAATTGGGACAGGAAGCACATCAAGGTGGACCCTTCAGGTGGCATTTTTTTTTTTTTACAGTTGTTACTAAATGACTTTGTTTCACCTGCCAAAAATATTCAGTCTGATAGTTCTTTCAAGGACGTTTGGCTTTGAATTCTGAAGGGCATGACACGAACCCATATGGATTCTTTACTACCGTTTAGGAGGCGGAAGTAAAACACGGTATTCCAAGATTTACTTTCTCTTTCTCTGGAGAAGATTTTATTTTATTTTATTTTTTAAAGATTTTATTATTCTGAGAGAGAGAGAGAGAAAGAGAGAGAGAGATCATGTGTGCACTAGCAGGCAGAGCAGCAGAGGCAGAGGGAGAAGCAGGCTCCACTGAGCAGGGAGCCCCACGCGGGGCTCAGTCCCCCAGCCCGGAGATCATGACCTGAGCCAGAGTCACACACTTAACCCACTGAGCCACCCAGGCATCTCTAGGAAGAATATTTTAAAACACATTACTGCATTTTTTCCTATGGGTATGTTGCCCTTGACTAAGTAATTCAATTTGATGCCCTTCAGTTCTGCTGCTTTGGGGGGGACAGAGGTGGGTGGCTGGCACATCTGTTTGGTTTTATCTACTACTTAAGGGTGTATTTGTTTTCTTCTGTGAGAGCTAGTGATTGATACCGCCCAGATGCCGGATGCCGGGCGAGCAAAGTAGGGATAGAAGCCACTAGTGGACGCCCGGGTTCGTGAGTCTGGACACTCTGCGGGACACTGTGGCCACGAAACTGCCTTTCTTCGCGCAGAAACTGCTGCTGTGTGCATGAAGGACCGGGGTTCAGCCGGCTCTCCCGCCGCCCCCGTCCTCCAAAGCACAGCTTGTGCCGGCAGGGGGCGCCGTGTGCAAAGCAGAGTGACCGCGGGGCCGCCCCTGGAAAGGGAAAGACAAACCTGAGCTATTTCTGGCTTCGATCGTTTACTTTTGATCTCGTATTTCATGAGTCAGCCCTACTTGACATATTTTTCATGCAAATTGTTGCCCCTTGGTACTCAGATCAGAAATGCCGCAGCCAAGATAATATTTGTGCGACGGTCCCCCCCTGCCGAGCCGTACACACCGTGGAGGCGCCACTCAGCACTGGCCCCGGGTGTCACGGACCCATATTTCCTGCACGATGCAAAATCCCACTACCTCTGGTGGGCTGGCCACCAGGCAGGGGCATCTGTGTCCCGGTTGATACTGGGATGCTCAGGGGGACCCTCTCCACCACCCTCGCCCCGCCCGGTACCTGATCCTGAAACTTCGACAGCGTCTCAAGGCTTGGAGTTTGCCGGATTCCAGGAAGAACCAAGCTCAGCTGGATCACGTCTGACTCAGGGCCCGGGCTCTGTCGTGCTCTGTTCTGCGAGCAGGTGCCTGCGGCAAGTCCTCCGACTCGGGGCTGAGTGACCCCGTCCGTAAGGCGAGGCCGTTCGGCTGCTAGATTCCTCAGGTCTTCACCAGAACTATGATCGCGATGTTCCATTCCGTCATAGTCGAGTTTTCTTTGAAGCCTTTCTGGACTCAGTCAAGTCTTCATGCAAGTCCAAGTAAAACAGAAACAAACCAGCGAATAAAGCCCTGATAAACGGGATAGTCTCTCTGTCCAAGAGCTGTGAGTGGGAGAGAACTACTGACTTCAGTTTTGCAACGTTTCTTGCGCTCTATAGACCTGTTTTATTTAATAGCTAATTAATGCAGAGTGAGAACATTCTTGCACGGTTTGGTTTCACTCTCTACTCTCCGCATGTGTTGAGAACGAGGCGTGAGTTGTGCACAGTCTGGGCGTGTGACAGCTGTCTCTGGTCACATGCAGGTCTTTTCATTTTTTTCCTTAAAATTTTTCTTTATTTTAGAGATAGAGAGAATGCTTGGTAGGTAGGGGAGGAGCAGAGGGAGAGAGACAAGCAAACTCTGCTGAGGGCAGATGTGGGGCTTGATCCCAGGACCCTGAGATCATGACCTGAGCTGAAACCAAGAGTCGACGCTCAACTGATTGAGTCCCCAAGGTGCCCCCACATCTAGGTCTTTCTTGAAACCTCTGTTTCTTTAATGTCATCCCAATGGGGAGCGGATGTCAGGAAGTGATAGCAGTCCCTCCAAACTGTGGTTCTACTAGGGTTTCAATCCGTGAGCGAAGCTGATAACCAGCACCGTATAAAGGTTCAGCTTGGATTAGGCTCGGAAAGTGGATGAACCAAGGAAAGATAGAAGTCAGGCGCGGGTGAGTCTGTAAGAAGGAGATAGAAACAGTAAGATACACTGGCTCACCGGACTTACTTCCACGCGCCGCGGACGTGTTTGAACATATTTATGGCACACGCGAGTGTTGGTTGAGATCATTTGCTTCTTTGTTAATCTATGCACCAGTGACATTGCGCTAACATGTCACTAATAGGACACTTCTTCCTCTCGGATCTCTTTCCCTTTTATATTGTCCAGTTTCTGTCATGACTGTCAGTTTTTTGGGTTTTTTTTAAAGATTTATTCATTTATTTGTTTGACAGAGAGAGAGATCACAAGTAGGCAGAGAGGCAGGCAGAGAGAGAGAGAGGAGGAAGCAGGCTCCCCGCTGAGCAGAGAGCCCGATGTGGGGCTCGATCCCAGGACCCTGAGACCATGACCTGAGCAGAAGGCAGAGGCTTTAACCCACAGAGCCACCCAGGTACCCCATGACTGTCAGGTTTTAAAGCACTTCCTAAGGGTCTCTAAAATCTGCCTCTGTCAGCAACATAGTAACTCCCAGTCCCTTGCTGGGACAGTCTCTGAGCTGCGGTGGTAAGTGGAACATGGGCTCTGGGGAGCAACAGCCCCCAGCTGTCACACCTTCCCAACACGGTCCACTCCGTGCTATGGCCACAGCCACTGGGTGTGGAGCTGGGAGGACGGGCTGCCGCCAACTCAGGAGCTGCGCGATGGCCCGCCTTGTGCTCACATCTGTTTAATGACAGCAGACTGGCGTTTGAAGAGCTCGTCCTCGCTGTGTTCTTTAGGGTGGGGTCAAGATTTGGTGGCTGGATGAGGCAGGATGATGAAAATTGTGTCCTTGGATGGCTGGGGTTTAGATCTTCTCCGAACTTGTCACAGCTTTCCCGCAATATGACTTGGGGGAGCAGAGGGCTCCCCAGGGTCCCATGGTACCTCCTACTGCTCATGGCTCTGCCTTCACGCCCGCAGGTGCTTCTGACTCGTGAGAGAAAGATCACTTGTTGTCTCTGCTCTCGTGTTCAGGGGAGCCGGGAGCGCCTCCGGAGGCCTGAGAAGTGTGGGGGACTGGTGGGGCTGGAGTCTGACCACGCTGCTGGACGGCCTGCACGGGGCAGGCGCCCCCACCGCCGGCCCGCCGGGCGCTCAGGTGGGCTTCTGTCTGCTCTCCGCACAGGTCCTGGCGGCAGTGGGCCATGGTGGGGCGGGGATGCCGGGATGCTGGACCGGCAATGCCACATGCGCTCTCTCTTTCCAAGATGGATCGATTTGAGAGAGACAGAGAGAAAGAGCACGAGCCAGGGGAGGGGCAGAGCAGGAGGAGAGAAGTAGACTTCACTGCTGAGCTCAGAGCCCGACACGCGGGGCTCGACCTCACGACCCTGACATCACGACCTGAGCCGATACCCAAGAGTTGGACACGCCACCAACTGTGCCCCCAGGCACCCCACTGCGTGTACTCCTGAATGGCCAGGAGGCGGTGGGCCAGCGGCTGCCTCCCGCTGCTTCCCCGTCCCCGCACACCCGCCTCCGCCGCACGTGCACGCCCAGACACCAGCAGGTGCCCAGCCGCGCGGGACGAAAGGGCATGGCCAGTGGGGACAGAGGGCTAGATCACTATGCAAAACGCTGTGACACGGGGCACAGGGCACCCCGGGACGGGGGGAGCATCCAGGAAACAGCCAGGAGACAGGAGAATCTCCCCAGATTCTGAGAAAAATTGCCAAGGAATCTGCATTTCATAGAATGACCCAATTCCCTGCTTATTTTTCATTTCCTTCCTTGTTTTAAAAAAAATAAAATGACTTTGTGTTGCATTCCTCAAACCACACCATCGACCCTTGAAAAGCACAGGGTTCGCGGTCCCCCTCCACCCCGGCAGTCGAAATTCCACGTGTCACTTTTGACTCCCCCAGAGCTGAGCTCGAACCAGCCGACCGTGGGCCACGAGCCTCCCGAGTGCCTGGTCGACAAGCACGTGTTTTGTGTGTCAGCTGCGTCCTATGCTGTGTTCTTACAAGAAGGCCAGAGACGAGAAAATGTCATTAAGGGAATCCTAAGGGGGAGAAAAGGCACCTACAGTGCCTTCCTGTCTTTCTCGAGAGACATGCACATTTCTGTGGATCTGTGCCACACAAACCCATGTTCAGGGTCCGGGGTCCTTCTGATGCCACTTCCGTTGTGGCGTGCGGTCGCGTGCGGTAGCACCCGACACACTCTAGAAAAAGACACAAAGTGACGCTTCAGGTTCGGTCCAGAGAGTGTGAGGAAGCCGTGTCCTCCTCACACTGCTCTTCAAGGCGGTGGGGGGTTTGTAGCGGGGTGGGGGGGACCGTCCTGACGTCTGAGCTGGAGGTGGGGGCTGTCCCAGCACAGCGAGCGGCACGTTCCGGCCGCGCAGTCTGTCCAGCGGTCTCGCGTGTCCCTTTCTCCTCCAGCCGGGAGCCCTTGGCGGGAAGTGCTACGTGCTGGGCGCCGTGCTGATCCGGCAGTGGAGGGAGGCTCCCAGCGACGCGGGCGAGGTACGCCGCTCCCTGCCCGACTCTGTGCAGGTGCGTTTCCCCCGGGGCTCACCCTGTGTGTGTCTCGCCCCGTGTGTACTTCTACTGAAGCAGAGTGAACACACCGGGTTACATAAGTCCCAGGTGCACATGACACCGATGTAGCCCTTCTGTGTGTCACCTGCTGCTCACCACGTCCCCATCCTCAGTCCCCATTGCCGGTGTCCCTGACCCCCCGCCCACCGCCCTGCTGGCGACCACAGTTTGTTCTCTGTGAAATACAGTTAGAGTTAGGTAACCTTGGACACATCAGGTGGAAAGGCCGCAGACCGCCAGACCCTCCCCGGGACCCTGGCTGTGACTTGAAATCCTCAGTGGCCAGGATCCGGGACAGCCAAACCTTTCCCGCGCCCTCTGCCGGTCCTGGCACGCTGTGGGAAACCAGGACATCTCTATCTAAAATCCTGAAAATACTCCCTACCAGGATTCTCATATCTCCTCCTGGGTGGGAGGGGCTGCTGGAGGGCGGGCATCTCACCCTCGTCCTCCGGAGATGGAGCCCTTCTGACGTCCAAACCAGGACAGGTGTACAGCTCAGGTGCTGGCTGGAGCCCTGATCCTTCGGGCTCAGCTGGAGCTCAGGGACAATGAGGGGGCTTTGAGGGAGCAGGGGCCGCGTGTGGCCAGCCTTGGACCCCCCAGGCCACAGGGCTGACTCTGAAGCGAGCGTCTGCTTCTCCCTCTGACTGGCGGTCTCTCCTTCAGCCTCCCAGCCCAGCTTCAGTGCTTACAGAGGACTGCCCTCCTCCACGTGGCCCCAAAGCTGGCGGCCCCGACGCCCCCTCTGCGACAGATCCTGCCACCCAAAGAGTAGCCCCAAGCGGCCCCGGAGACTGTGGGGCCAGGGATCCCTGGGTGCTCAGCCTGGGCCGCACCAGGTCAGTGGGATTCAGAGGTCGGCTCTGGCCTGCCCGTCCCTGGCTCCGTGTACGGCCCGGTGCTGGCAGGGCAAGGGCAGGTGTGTTCTCACCGCAGAGGAGGGGAGTGAGGCCCAGCGCAGGGAGGCCGTGTCGGAAGGTCAATGCCGGCAGAGGGCTTCAGTCTCTGAGCGCAGGGATGAACAAGCCGAACATTCCTCCAGAGTTTGCCTGAGGCCTAGAGGTCAGGGGACCTAAAGGACACTTGTCCCCGCTGGCCTGGTGCTGAGCAGGTGCTCACGGGGCCTCCTGGTGCTCTTAGGCTCCGCGAGGGAGGGCAGCCGCACCTCGGTCCGGTGCTGTGCCGACGAGCCCCAAGCTGCAGCTACAGTCCCCGGTGGGTGGCCCGGCCCTGGCAGCTGTGGCAGCGCACGACCTGTGTGGGGGTGACAGGGGCCCTGCGGCAGGTGATGGGTGCCCCCAAGTGAAGCCGGCAACACAGGAGCGAGACCCTTTCATTGTTACCAAACACGGGTCAACGGGAACTCCTTTCCAACACCACAGCGAGTCCACAGCAGGAAAAGATACAAGAAGGTTCTGGAGGCCTCGCAGACAGAGATGGTCACGTCTCCCCCAGTCGTGCCCATGAGAGATGGAGGGCCTCCCTCCTGGGAGCGCCCCAGCCTCAGGGTCCTGGGCAAGGATGGGGCATGCGCCCATGTGCATCTGTCCAGCCCCAGGAACCCGGGCAGCCTCAGGGGCCTGGAGTGCGAGGCCGGGGGTGGGGGCTCCGTGCAGGCCTTGCCCCGACCTGCTGCACTTTGCAGGCCAGCAGCACACGCAGCCCTGAGCGGCCTCCGGGCCCGCCGGTGGATCGACCGCAGCACCAGAGCCGTGTCCGTGCACTTCACTCTCTACAACCCTCCCACTCGGCTCCTGTCCAGCGTGTCCCTGCGCGCCGAGAGGCTGCCCACAGGGGACCTGGCCCTGTCCCCGCTGGTGCAGTCGCTGGCTGTCTTCGGCAGTGGCTCGGCCCTGTGGTCCAGCCCCACGCTTCCCGAGGTGGGTCCTCCCGCCCCTCCCCTGCATGCGGATCCCAGGGCTCCCCTGCGGCCTGCCCCCCCACCTCCACTTGGACCCGCAAGGACGCAGAGCCTGGCACTCAGGACCATCAGCCTCTGTCTGTTCCGACCTGAACTTCGGCCCAGGCCAGCACTGCTCCCCAGGGGGACGGAGCAGCGTCCTGAAAAGTGGCTTTATTAGCCTCAAAGTGTCAACTGGGAGGGTCCAGGGGAGCCAAGCAGGGCTGACCTGCCCCGACCCTCACTGAGCTTCTGCTCACTGCGGGCGTTCTGAGCGAGTGAACGCGGGCAAGCGGGAACGCGCGGCTCGTCGAGGCCGAGAGAAGCGTTAGAGCTTCGGGGAAGTCCTGATGCGGGAGCTCGGCGCGGCCAGGGAGCCCATGATATGTGTTTGACGGATGTGGGAAAAGTCATTCTCCGGAGCCGGCTGAGGACGGGCGGGGAGGACCCTGCCGGGTGGCGCTCACGGTCTGCCTGTGCACTAGGCCCGCGGTGAGCTCACCCGCGTCCCTCACGCCTGGCCCGGGAACGGGCGGGTGGCTCTGCGGGAGCAGGTGCCCGGGCGGGGGGTCGGGGGGGCAGGCTTCGCGCCCGCGCCCTGCAGAGCCGGAGACGGGTTCGTGCTGCGTCTCTGCAGGAGGGTCTGGGCAGGGAGGCAGCCGGGAGTGCGGGGCTCGGGAAAGCACGGGCACTCTGGGTCCTTCTGGGTGCTCTGCGGTCGTTCCCTCCACCAGCTGGCCTTCCTGCTGCTCAGCCTGACTCACGTCTGCTTGCAAGTCCGCAGCCTGGCCAAGGACGGCGTCCGCAGATACTGGCGCAAACCAGGGAACTGGCTGGAGGTAGCCACTGCCGTCCTCTGCCGTGAGGAAAACGGGGACAGCCACATCCCCACCTGGACACGATCCTGCTTATGCCCCGGCTGACCCCAGCCGTCTTGCTGTCTCCCCTGCGGTCGTGTTCGTGGCCGACAGCGCGAGATCAGTGCCCCTCGCTGCTTGCGTCCTGATGTTGCGCCCTGAGCCGTGGGGGCCACCGTGGCCCTCCCCAGTGCCCTGAGGCTCCTTGCCCCCCCTGCTGCAGCTTGCCGTCCTGGGAGCCAACCTCGCCTGCCACACAGCCTCCAGCCACCTGGCCACGCTCACTGGGGACGTGACGGACCACTTCCGCGGAGGACATTTCCAAGGATTTACGGACCTCAGCCTCGCGGCCTCATGGAATCAGGTACGGCAGAGTGTCCTGGTGGTCCACGCCCTGCGACACTGTCCAAAGGAAGAGGTCATACACGTTCTAGAAGGTTCCAGACAAGGGATTTATTCCATACTGAGAAAATGCTCTGAGCTCGAGGATGAAGGAGAGCGGCACAGGGAAGGGCTGAATCCGTGTTGCAGGTGGGGGGGAGGGGGGAGGGGCGTGGTCTGTGGGCAGCGTGACTCAGAACACGGAGGTGCTCAGCGACTCCCCGGGACCCTGAGTGGGGGAGGGAACAGGTGTGGAGGAGGCGTCAAGGAGGCACAGCCGGACTCAGACACGTCAGGTCTGTCCTCTCTCTTCCGTCTGCGGCCGTCCCAGCGGCAGATGGTGTGAGCCGGTCCTGCCATGGGGACAGGTGCAGCTTGAAGCGGGGACTGACCCCCACCGGGATGGGGTCCACCAGAGGAGCCGACCCAGCCCAGTGCACCCGCTCCCGGCATTCATGTCTCCGTTAAATGTCACCCCATCCTCATGGCACTAACCAGCCTCCACTAGGACCTGCGTTGTGATGACTTGGCTCATTGTCTGTCCGTCCTCAAGGCTGGAGGCTCTGGGAGGGAGGAAGGTGGGACGCTCTGCTTCACTCCCGTCGGTGGCCGCTCCCTGGGACGGATGGCGGGCTCGGGGTCTGCCTTTCTCTGCGCCCCAGTGTCCCTCGGCCTCTTTCTTCCAGCAGGATTCCGGCTTGGCCCTGCCTGGCTTTCCCTTGCTGGGCTCAGGGAACGGCAGGCTGCTGGCCGGCACACCCCGTCTCTGGGCACACTTAGCAGGTCACAGAGGGCTGGGCCTGGCCTCAGGAAGGGGCGGTACACATTCTGTCCGTGATCTTCTCGCCGATGTGGGCGGGGCAGTCCTGTCCAGGGGTCATTGTGGGGCGACAGTGAGTGTGGTCTGGTGTGCCTGCGTCTGCGTGCCCTCCGGAGCTGGCGGGACATGCCGACCTGCCCTGTCCTTCCATCTCAGAGGGTGACCTGGCTCCAGGGGACCGTTTTGTTCCTCTTGATGCTGAAGCTCGCCTTCCTCGTTGGCATTCAGAGCTCGACGGCCTGCTGCTCCCTCCTGCTGCGTCGCTCGCGGGCTGGCGTCTGCACGGCAGGGGTAAGAGGGCTCCCCGGGGCCAGTTCTCTCCCTGACGAGCCAGCACAGTCCGTGTTCTCTCCGGGGAGACACAACCTAGAGGCCTGGCCGTCCAGCACCCTGGAGTGGTTTTAATCATGGGTGCTGGTGGTTCTAGGGTGAGGTGAGCTCCTGAGCACGGGAGCCCAGACTCACTCCACGGTGCTCTGCCGGACCCCCGCTCCGAGCACTTGTTCTTACCACTCGTGCTGTGGTTATCACCACCCATGGAGCGGGTTCTGCGTGCCAGGAATGGGGCCTGGGCTCTCTAGTAATTCCCGCCCCGAATTATTACAGCTAAGCATGGCGGTTGGGGTAGGGGGAGTTCTTCCTCGGAGGGAGGAGCAGGGTGCTAATGCCAGCGAGGGCCCCCACCTCCCTTGCCCCTAAGGCTGGCCCTGCACCCAAATGCCCCCCATGAGTACCTGACACCCACTTGAGTGCAGTTTACCCCCACGTGGAATCGGCCTCTGTGGGCCCGGAAGACAGCGCACGTGTAGGGTTCTCAGGAAGCCTGGCTCCCACCCCGGGCCCCGGGTCTCAGTCCAGGGCAGGCCCCGTCTGGCAGGCTGTTGATGCCCAGAATCAGGAGGCCCAGAGCCCCGCATGGGATGCTGGCCAGATTCTGGGGTGCGGGTGATTCTGACCTGGCCCCCGGGGGGAGAGCTTGCCCCAGCCCGTCAGCCCCTGGTGGGCCCCCACAGCCGGACTGTCATCAGGCCTGATGAGGTTCTGGCTGTCAGGGTCCCAGGCTCAGGCGGCTCACGGGGAACCAGGCACAGGTCCCCCAGCCCTGCTGGCCTTATGCTCAGGGGGACAGACTGTGCAAACCAGGACCCAGGAGTCGGAGACCTGGCTTCAAGCCTGGCCACACCTCCCCCAAACCCACTGTCCCGACTGTGGGACCAGTGCCCGAGCTCCAGCTCCAGAAGCTCCTGGCATGTGTGTGCCTGGGGGGCACGGCGTGCTGAGAGAGTACATGTATGTGGAACTTGTGTATTAAACTGGTCATTATTCTACCACGTAGCGATGGGAAGAATGCTTTTTTGTGAAGGAAAAAGCACAGAATATCATGAATAAATCGTGTCCAAATTAGGTAGTGGGATCCGAGCCATTCAGAAACCACGGGCGGGTGAGGACAGGTGTTCCGGGAAACCGCACTGGCTCGGTCTAGATGGTGGACCACTGTAGGGTGCGATCCCACGTAGGGAGTGAATAATAGTGGAGTGAGAGCCCGAGAGTTTGTAGGGAGGCTGTGGGTGCAGGGCTGGGGCTAAGCGAGGGAAATGGGGGCCAGTGGGGGCCTGGAACGGATGCAGCCCAGGGTTCCCTGTGACAGTCAGTGCACACACTGCAGCCCGTGTGGGCCTGTGACAACGGGCTGCTGGCCTTTGGTGCAGGTGAGTTAGATACACACACACACACTCACTCACTGGGCCCAGGGGACAACCCCAGGCTCCCAGGCCAAATTCCCAGCCTGTTACAACAACCAGACCACAAAACTTCATCTGAACTAAACTTAACAGCCTTTACTTCTGAAGTGGCTTATTTTATTGAGCCCTTGCTGGGTGCTGGGGACACGAAGGACAGGGAGGAAGCAGCAGAGATGCCCCCCCTCTGCCGCCCCGCCCCGCCAACTTGAGATGGGCAAGGGAGTCGGAGGGGGGGGTGGCTGGGAGAGGGTCGTTGTTGCCGGGAGAGAGTGGGGGAGGGATAGTGAAAGGGGGAGGGAGGGGGAGAGAGGGAAGGGGAGGGGAGCAGGGCCCCAGAGGGTGTGCACGAGACAGATCCAGGCCACGAGGGATGACATGGTCAACACTGCAAAAACTGCTTCTCCAAGCTTGTTGTTGCTTTAAAGCATTAAAAAGTCCGCACACCAGTCTGGGCTCCGAGGCCCCAGAGCCCAGAGTCATGGGTCTTTCTCCCTGCAGCTGGTGGGTGTCCTGATGCTGGCCGCCCGCTGCCACCTGTGCACGGTACCGCCCTGCACCTTCGCAGACTTCTCCCGAGACCTGCTGTTCCGTCTTCCAGGAAGAAGCCAGACACACACATCCCGTGGCCCTTCCGAGTCTGACCTGTGGGCCCTGGCTGGGTGCCGCGGGGCCCTTTTCATAGCAGTGAGCACTGTGTGGTGGGGAATGGTACGTGCATGCATCCCAGAAGTCGCGGTGTGCCGGGACCCACCTGGCGTGGGGTGAAGTTCTCCGTGGTCCGTTTGCACGTTTCTGCACGGCCTTGGCTCCCTGAGGCCCACCTGTCCTGCGCTGGGTGAGGCTGCTCACTGCGGCAACGAGGACAGGTCCAGCAAGACCGGCATCGCGGGCTGCGGGCTGCCTCTTCGAGGGAGCCCCTGGTCCTCCAGGCACTGAGTCACTCCCTGTCTCTTTCCCAGCCTCCTCTCATGGTTGCTGCTAACTCTTCCCTTGTTATTTCAAACTTCCTGTTTCATAAAGGTTTCCCTCCATCAGTCAGCCTTCACTGGATAGGTGTTCTGGCCTCGGCGGGCTGAGTTGGGAATGGGGCTCTCTGTTTACTACCCTCCTACTGATCTGCCACCTGCAAATGTAGTCATATCACACACACACACACCCCAGCGTAAACTCGAGCCTTGACAATACTCAAACCTGAGCTCTTTGTTTTTTTTTTTTTTTGCAGTGTTCCTTGCTCCCTGCTCACTGCTCATCCATCCGTCTAGTCTCCCATCTTCCCACCCATCCATCCGTCCACCCATCTCTCCATCCCTCGCTCCCACCCTCTCTCCTTCCCTCTGCTTTTCCTCCATCCACCCATCTAGTCTTCCATCCACCCATCCACCCACCATCCATCCACCTGTCCCATCCACTCGTCCGTCCGTCCGTCCATCCATCCATCCACTAGTTTTTTTCATTCATGCACTCATTCAGCAAATGCTTAAAGAATACCTATTCTATTCAGGCAATGGTGGAACAAACATAAGGGGACACGATCCACAGTCCATAAAGGAAGACCCGTGTATAAACAAAGAATTATAGCAAATTTTGTATTTTCGATACTTTTCCTTCATTGGATATGTGGTTTGCAAGTGTTTCTCCCATTCTGTGGCTTTTCCTTGTTGTTCCTCTAACTGTGTTTCTTGCAGAAGTTGTTAACATTTGCAGAGGCCAGTTTCTTGATTTCTTCTTGTGTAGATTCCGCTGGTGTCCTATCAGCAAATGGCAACCCCACACTCCCATGCATTTTCTCCTACGTTTCTTCTAGAAGCTTTATGGTTTTCTGTTTTAGATGTAGGTCAGTGGTCCATTCTGAGTCCACGTTAGTGTAAGATACATGGCTCAGAGCAGAGTGAGTGTTCTCGGCCGTTTGGGATGTCCAGTTCTTCTTGACACCGTCTTTGAAGAGCACGTCAGGGGGCACCTGGCTGGTGCTGCTGGTTGAACATCCGGTTCTTGGGTTCAGCTCGGGTCGTGATCTTGGGATCCTGAGATCGAGCCCCTTGTCGGCTCAGAGCTCAGCACAGAGTCTGCTTGCAATTCTCTGCCTCTTTCTGCCCCTCCGGCTCATGATCTTTCTCTCTCTCTGTCTATCAAATAGATAAATAAATCTTTTTTAAAAGCATGTTGAATTGCCCGTGTATCTTCATCACAAACCAGTCTGTGGCTTCCGCGAGTCTGCTTCTGGCTCATCTGTTCTGGTCCACCGACCGGTTCCATCATAGCCCCATTCTGTCGTGATGGCTAGAGCTGCTCAGTGAGTCTTCACGTAGCACAGGCCAGTCTTCCAGATTCGCCCTTTTCCAGTTGGGCCTGCTCTAGTTCTTCTGCGTTTCCACATAAGTTACAGAATCAGCTTGTCGGCATCTGTGAAACAGCATTTTGGGGTTTTGCTCGAGCTTGCTGCGAATGTGTAAATCAGATTTGGGGAGAACAGACATCTTCCCAATAAGATCACCCCAAGAATGCTGTCAGTCTCCATGTATTTTGGTCTTTTTTGATGTCTCTCTTCAGTGTTCTGTAGTTTTTAGCAAATTACATGCTATTTTATTTTATTTTTATTTATGTGTATGTATTCATGTATCTGAGGCATCTCCTCAAAGGGAGTGGCATCTGTGGGTGGGAGGAGTATCACAGGAGCAAGGGTGGTGGTGCGGCCCATGCTGGGGCCCAGGGCCAGGCAGGTGTGGCTTTGGAAACGATGCTTGGAGCCAGGCATGGTGGGCCCTGGACGTCTCGCTAAGATGATGAAGTGCTTGGACCTTATCGCCAGGAACCGGAAGGCAGTGGCCCTGGGGGCCCTGCACACAGGGGTCGGGACACATCACTGCTGGCTCCTGGGGCTCGTGTAGCTGGTAGAGCAGAGAAGCCTCAGACCCACGTATGCGGTCTGAACGGACGGTGTCCTGTCCTCAGACCTAGACATCCCTGCGGGGTTCTGACACGTGGGCAGGGGCTCAAGGGATTTAGGGCTGATCTGGGAAAGAGATATGACCATGAGAGACGGGAAGACACACAAGCTGTATGTGGCCACGTCCTGACAGGTGTCACAGCCCAAGCCCATCCAGATGCTGTGTCTTGGGGCCACCGTCAAGAAAGGGAGAAGGGGGGACGCCAGGGTGGCTCAGTGGGTTAAATCCTCTGCCTTCGGCTCAGGTCGTGATCCCAGGGTCCTGGGACTCAGCCCCACATCGGGCTCTCTGCTCAGCGGGGAGCCTGCTTCTCCCTCTCCACCTGCCTCTCGGTCTGCTTGTGATCTGTCTGTCAAATAAATAAATAAAATCTTAAAAAAAAAAAAAAAAAAAAGGAAGGGGAGAAGGGCAGGGGTGGGAGGGTCTTTTAGTGTAGACGTCGCCCAGCAGCAAGCCGGAAGTCTGAGTCAGACCTCCCAAGGGCAGCAGCGTGTCGGAGTCCGGGAACTGGGTAACAGCCGTCTGTGCGATTCTGCAGCGCATGCAAAGCAGGCTCTAAACGGCCCAAACTTGGCTTGTTTGGACTATTTTTATAACAGTCAAATGCATGCAACTTTGAGTTCGGTGCCCACAGGCTTTGTGAGCCTGAGAACAGGTCTCAGCCTGCAGTAAAGAAGGAAACAGCTGGTGCCCGTCCACAGGGAGCATGTGAGCTCGTCTTCCTGTCTCCTGGGCACAGGCGCCGCTCACGGTGGGGCCCCCAGATCCCGGCGGTGCCGCGGAGCACCCCAAAACCAAGTCTGCTTGTGGAAACGCACACCATGTTGACAATCTTCGTCCTCACCTGTTAGAGACTGAAAACACCCTTGATGTATATGCCCGTTTATACATCCACGTTCATTGTTGGGTTCATCTCGTTAGGGTCCAGTTCTGTGCACAAGAGCTATTTCCTGGTGTTTTTGTTTTTTTGCTAAGCAGTTACTGTCTTACTAAAAGGTCCTAAAACAGTGTCATCAGATAGAATCTCCATTTTACAGTCTATCACATTAACAAAGCCATGTTTTAAAAAAAAAAACAAAAAAAACAAAAAAAAAAAACAACAAAGCCATGTTTTGCCTGATAACATGAAATCAGTCTGTCTTTTCTTTCTTCTCCCCAGCTCAGAGGGTCCCTCGCGACTCTTGCTCGAAAAAGGAAATCTTTGCAAAGCCAGTCGCTCGTGAGCCTGGCCGACCTGACTGCCTACGTGTGGGGGGCGGTCCTGGCCCAGTTGGGATTGCAGAAGCCACCGCAGGAAGAGGCTGATGTGGCCGTGAGGCGTGTAAGCTGCGGGTGTTGGACCGGCGAGCGCGATCTTTCCTTGTAGAACCTCACTTCTGGCCGTTAAAGCACGTGGGATTCTATGCGTCCTCTCATCACAGAGCCGTGGCATTTCCCGTGGAAATTCTAGCACTTAGCTGGTGACCAAGCACGTTCTCTTCCCTTAACTCGTGATATCCTTGGATGACCGAGTTTATGATTCCGCCCCCCACAACACACACACAGCCCCTCTGTCCCTACAGAGCGACTCTTTGCTTTGGGTCTCGACCACCAGGGCCAAACTTCTCCGCAAACACGGGGACGTAAGTAGAGCGTTTGGGCCTGGTCCCCGACGTGATGGCCAGCAAAGCAGGTATTAGCACACTGAATGCCTCACCAGCCTTCGTGACCGGCACTGCAGCGTCCTGCGCTACAGTCCCAAAGCCAGCCATGGGTGATGGCGATCTTGGGCTTTGAGAAGGCTTCACTCTTTGTCATGCGCCTTTAAATCCGTGCTCATGCATGTGAACCAGGGCGTCGGGGATGCGTGTGCACACCTGTCCGTGACTGGGGTGTCGGGGACACATGTGCACACTTGTCTGTGACCCGGGGTGTCGGGGACGTGCGTGCACATGTGTCCCTGACCCAGGGCATCAGGGACGTGTGTGTACATGTGTCCGTGACCTGGGGGGGTCAGGGGACTGAGATCAAGAATTCGGGCCCAGCACCAGGTCTCTGGCTCCAGGGAGCGCCCTTACAAAGTACAACAGCATTTAAAGTCAGGACCATGAAAATGCTTCAGAAATTGAGGGGAAAATCGTTTCTTGAGGGCATTCACTAATCTGATTTCCTTGGCTCCAGAATCACTACCTGGATGAGGTCTCCGATCTGCTGGACGAGCTCCTGTGGAAGATTCACAGTTTGTCCGACAGCCCCCAGCGTCCTCTTCCACGGCAGGGGTCCGGGCATACAGGAGGGGCCGGGCCAGGAGGCCATCCCTCGGGGGGCATCTCTGCCTAATGAGCCACTGGGGTAAGCAAATGAGAAATTATTTTTATCACTCTTCTTTAGAGCAGAAATGTTTTTTACGTTGTAAGGGAGGCCTGAACTGGGGGCTGTTTCAGATCATGAGGTCCTTTTGCATAAGTGTCCCCTCCAGGTGGGTGGCTGGTGGGAAGGGCGCTCTGCTCAGAGCGGAAGGACTGACTGCTTCCTCCGGCCAGTGTCGCCCGTGACCGCCAGCTTGCGGGGGCGGCCGGGCTGGCTCTCTGCTCCCTCCCTCTGATTACAGCTGGGAGCAACGAAGGTAGGGAGAACCAGAAATGGGAATTCCATCCTCCCAGACACCAGGAAATATCTGTGCTCCAGGACGGGACCAAGAATCCCCCAAATGGTGCCCACCGCAGAGAGAATTAGGCCAAAGGGGGAGAGGACTCTGCCCCTTCCCAGAGCCCAGAGTTCTCCCTTCTCAACAGCACGCATGGCGGGGGCTAGCAAAGGCCCCTGGTGTGGAAGAAAAGATAATAGAACAGCCCAGAGCGAAAGGAATCCCCTGGAACACGAGTGTTGGGGACACGGGGCTGTGGGAAAGCCATCTGCTGCAGAGGCTGTTGAAGTGGAACCAGCAGAGGGGCTGTTGATGGCCCAGAGGCTGGAGCCGGGAGAGGCACGTGCTGCGGGCGGGACACGGTGAACGGTCAGGTGAGTGTCGGGCTCCCGTGTGACGTGATCTCAGGGGCTCCCTGAGACCCAGACAGACACCATGCTGCCCGGACTGGCCGCCGTCACGCAGCCCAGCGGCACGGGCGTGCTCCCTGGCCCGGTGAGATGGACCCCTGCGAGCAGAGGTGCACACGCATGACAATCACAGATCACGACGGGATGATGCGACCCCAGAGAGCCGTCGGTGAACATGACTGGAAGGGGCGCCTGGTGGCTCCGAGGGCGCAGCGTCTGTCTTTGGCTCAGGTCATCATCTCCAGGTCCTGGGATCCAGCCCCATGTCGGGCTCCCGGCTCAGTGGCGAGTCTGCTCCTCCCTCTGCCCCTCCCCTGCTTGTGTGCTCTCTCTCCATATCTCTCTCAAATGAATAAATTAAATCTTAAAAAAAAAAATAAGATGACTGGAAGGGATGGACACGGAGACGAGCCCCGCAGAGCATTGTCACACGCAGGTGAGACGGCAGGCGAGCTGCTCTCCGCACGCGAGACTCAATGCACGGGAAAGAGCGCGGGGCCGAGACGGCAGCACTGAACACTGGCATAAAACACAAAGGAGAACGGAGAGAGTCGAGGAAAGAAAAGGACCAGATGACAAAAACACAAGCTGAGCAAAAGAAAAAGGTAACAGATTCACAGAAAAGACAGCGAAGGACACGGATGGCAAGTTTGAGGACATTTTGCAAAATGAGATTAAAAATAAACAATTAAAATTGATTTTAGGGAAAATCATACACACAAAAGTCAGAGAAGAATATGCGTAAGGCGAAGAAAGGACAGGTGTCACCTCCCAGCACCCTCCTCCACCCTCTGGGGAAGAAAGTCGGAAGACACAAAAAAATATTTAAAGATATAATTTAGGGACACCCGGGTGGCTTAGTCGGTAAGCGTCTGCCTTCGGCTCAGGTCATGATCTCGGAGGCCCTGGACCGAGTCCTGCAGAGGCTCCCTGCTCAGCGGGGCGTCTGCTTCTCGCTCTGATCCTTCCCTCTCTCATCCTTTCTCTCTCTCTCTCTCAAATAAATAAAATCTTATAACAATGTCATCTTGCTGGGGCACCTGGGTGGCTCAGTCGATTGAACATCAGACCCTCTGCTTCAGCTCAGGTCATGATTTCAGGGTCGTGAGACTGTGCCCCACGTCGGGCTCCCTGCTGAGTGTGGAGTCTGCTTGGGATTCTCTCTCTCTCTCTCTCTCTGCTCCTCCTGCCCTGGTCATGCTCTCTCCTCTCTCTCTAAAAAACAAAACAAACAAAAACAATGGCAAACAGAATCCAGCATCGGATTAAAACAATAATATGTCATGATCATCTTTGAGTTTTATTTATTTATTTTTTTTACAGATTTTTATTTATTTGACAGACAGATCACAAGTAGGCAGAGAGGCAGGCAGAGAGAGAGGAGGAGGAGGAGGCAGGCTCCCTGCTGAGCAGAGAGCCCGATGTGGGGCTTGATCCCAGGACCCTGAGATCACGACCCGAGCCGAAGGCAGAGGCTTTAACCACTGAGCCACCCAGGCGCCCCCATCTTTGAGTTTTAAACCAAAGACATGTTTTAATATCAGGAAACAGATCGGTGACCCCCTCCCCAAGAGATGGCAGAGACTCTCATCTGATTTTCCGTGACTGCATTTGATGAAATTTGACATTCATTTCTAATTTTTAAAACACACTCTTCATTGAAATAATTCAAAAATCAGACTGTGTGGCAAGTCAGTGCTACATGCCGGTGGTGCCATGGCCAAGACCTTCCCACGGAGTCAAGGACGAGGGAAGACGGTCAGTTCCAAAGTCTGACGGGAGCACTTTCTCGGGGTTTACTGGTCTCGTTCCCGGAGGCGCTGCCCGCGCTTGCGTAACTAACAGCACACAGCCTCACTCACGGCGGGGTCGCTGGGCTCGCCAGGATCCGAGCGCACAGGGCAGCCTACGGTGGGCCCCGGGATGCGCCCCAGCCTGTGCCGTTCAGACCAGTCCTGAGGCTCGAGGACAATCGCACTCCACGCCCTTGGAGGCGCGGGGGTGCCCGTGGATCTCAGTTCCTGCACCGGGACCCGCGGGCCCCTCACGAGAGGGGACCAGGAATGTGCCTGGACTTAGAGCAGACCCGGCGGGCTGGACTCCCCAGGACAGACCCTCTTCTGTACGATGTAATCCAAGCAAACAACCCACTTGAATTTCCTAACTTCAGGGCAGCTGTTTTCCACCTCAGCCATTAATAATTAAGATTGTATCTGCGTGAACTGGGAGGGTTGGCTGCCTGGAGCTATGCGAGCCGCCCGCTCGGCACACGGTCCTTTGTCTTTTCCAAGTGACTCAGCGCAGCGCCGGGGGCTGCCCGCCTCCGCTCTGGTCCTTGCCCGCTTGGCAGCCGCAGGTGCCTCGGGCCGCTCTCAGCTCGGCCGCGTCCATCCACCGGCGCAGAGCTGCGCCAGAGGCCTTGCCCCGAATCCGGCCTGATGCCCGGGACCCACTGCTCTGCGGGAGCGGCCAGGCCACTGAGACGGTCGCAGCTTCGAGAATCAAGAGCGGTTTTTCCAGCCGATTTGCCGCGCGATTCCCTTTTATGGGTAGGGCTGAGTCAGGCAGGAGCCTCCTGACCACGGGTTACGTCGGCTGAGCGGCTTGGTCCTTCTCTACAAGGAAGTGCCGTTCCTTCGCACCCACCTGCCGGCGGAAGCTGGGCGTTTGGCACAGCCGTGGAGGAGCCGAGGCTCACTTTGCACCTTTGTGGGTGTGCGGGGGATGGGGCTGCTGCCCCTGCACCATGGCCTCTGCCTTCAGAGAGGTCCGCGTGTGAGCCCCATGAGTCAGGGACCGTCGGGACACAGGGGGCCATCAGACTGTGGATTTTCGTCCCACTGCTTCCCTTAAGTTTGCCAGTTTGTGGGCGACTTTAAAAGATGTTTAGAAGGCTTGACTTTCCTTAACGTGCACAGCCTACGAAGGTCACAGGAACCTGTCCAGGAAATTTGCTGAGCTCCCCCCTCGTATCCAGGACTTTTTGTGGCCCTAGTCGGGTTCCACAAACCCAGCTTTCTGGACTCATGAACACACGAAACCGGAATCCTTGAAAAGAAAACAGGTTATGAAGGGTTTAAGGAATTACCCGCTCGGCCTGTGCACACAGAAGTAAGGGCGCCCCAGAGAGGCAGGAGGGACGTGCTCAAGCAGCTGCTGAGCAGTGGGTGGGCCCCGGGCAGTGACTAGCGTCCTGACCCTCAGTGTCCGCCCCGTGAAGCAGGTTCTCCCAGTGCCAGGCTTCCTGCGTCATCGTTCAACCTGGGTGCGTGTTCACTCACCAAGTACGGCGGCGGCACAGTTCCAGCAGCTGGAAGTGGGGGCCTGGTGATGTCTGTGTCCCCCAAGAAGACACAGTATTCCTGGAACTTGGAAAATATTAGTCTCCGAATTGGGGGCAAAGTTCTGAGCGACTCCGGTGCCCACTTGGATCAGCAGCAGGACGTGCCTCTTCATGAGAGGCTGCAAGTGGCCGTTCATGGTGCAGACCCTGGGGTACAGTGAGGTCTCGGGGTACGCGGCTGGCTCAGTCAGGGGAGCACACGGCTCTTGGTCTTGGGGTCGTGAGTTCAAGCCCCACACTAGGTGTAGAGATGATTTAAAGATAAAATCTTTTAAAAAGACAATAAAAAATAAATTGAGGGACACCCGGGTGACTCCAGTCAGTGAAGCATCTGCCTTTGGCTCTGGTCATGTTCCCAGGGTCCCGGGATCGAGCCCCGTGATGGGTTCCCTGCTCAGCAGGAAGTCTGCTTCTCTATCTGCCTCTGCCCCTCCTCCTTCTTGTGCTCTCTCTCTCTCTCCAATAAATAATAAAATCTTTAATAAGTAAATATTCTTCTTTAGGATTTTGATGGAGAACATAGGCAGTAACTTCTTCGACATCGACCACAACAACTTCTTTCAAGACACGTCTTCAAAGGCAAAGGAAACAAAAGTGAAAATGAACTTGACTTCATCAAGATCAAAAGCTTCCGCACAGCAAAGGAAACAGTCAACAAAACAAAGAGGCAACCCACGGGATGCGAGAAGATATTCACAAATGACACTACAGACAAAGGGCTGATATCCAAGATCTATAAAGAACTCCTCAAACTCAACACTCAAAAAACAGATAGTCACGTCAAAAAATGGGCAGAAGACATGAACAGACACTTCTCCAAAGAAGACATACAAGTGGCTATCAGACACGTGAAAAAGTGTTCATCATCACTAGCCATCAGGCAGATTCAAATCAAAACCACATTGAGATATCACCTTACACCAGTTAAGACGGCCAGAATTAATAAGACAGGAAACAACGTGTGTTGGAGGGGATGTGGAGAAAGGGGAACCCTCTTACACTGTTGGTGGGAATGCAAGTTGGTGCAGCCACTTTGGAGAACAGTGTGGAGATTCCTCAAGAAATTAAAAATGGAGCTTCCCTATGACCCTGCAATTGCACTACTGGGTATTTACCCCAAAGATACAGATGGAGTGAAAAGAAGGGCCATCTGTACCCCAATGTTTATAGCAGCAATGGCCACGGTCGCCAAACTGTGGAAAGAACCAAGATGCCCTTCAACGGACGAATGGATAAGGAAGATGTGGTCCATATACACTATGGAGTATGATGCCTCCATCAGAAAGGATGAATACCCAACTTTTGCAGCAACATGGACGGGACTGGAAGAGATGATGCTGAGTGAAATAAGTCAAGCAGAGAGAGCCAATTATCATATGGTTTCCCTTATTTGTGGAGCATAAGGAATAACACGGAGGACACTGGGAGATGGAGAGGAGAAGTGAACTGGGGGAAATCGGAGGGGGAGACGAACCATGAGAGACTATGGACTCTGAGAAACAAATGGAGGGTTCTGGAGGGGAGGGGGTGGGGGGTTCAGTGAGCCTGGTGGTGGGTATTAAGGAGGGCACAGATCGCACAGAGCACTGGGTGTTATACACTAGCAATGAACCATGGAACACAACATCAAAAACTAATGATGTACTGTCCGGTGACTAACATAATAAAAAAATAATAAACAGGGACGCCTGGGTGGCTCAGTTGGTTAAGCAGCTGCCTTCGGCTCAGGTCATGATCCCAGCGTCCTGGGATCGAGTCCCGCATCGGGCTCCTTGCTCATCAGGGAGCCTGCTTCTTCCTCTGCCTCTGCCTGCCATTCTGTCTGCCTGCACTCGCTCTCTCTCCCTGTCTCTCTCTGACAAATAAATAAAATCTTTAAAAAATAATAATAATAATAAACAAACAAACAATGAGGTTTCCTAGGAAAAATGCACTTCCCGGTAACTCCCGAGATTCACTGGTCCTGGATGTGACTGAGCTGACTCAGCATCCCTACGGGTCTGTGTCCCCCTCTTCTCTCTGCTTTCTACAGAGCCCGGTGCTCAGTAAACACATAGTAATCGGCGATTGGTCAGAAGAAGCTACTACTACGTATATGGGTAGAAAGAGGAAAGATAATGGGGCAGAATGTTAATATGTGATTCCAAGGAGAAGTATAGAAGCACACAACTGAACTATTCTTGCAACTTTTCTTGTACGTTTGAGACAATTTCCAAACGAAAAGCTTCTGAGGTGCCCAGCTACCTCAGTTAGTGGACAGTATGACTCTCATGGGTTCAAGTCCAATGCTGGCCCTAGAGATGGCTCTAAGGAAGAAGAAGGAGAAGGAGAAGAAGGAAGAAAGGTAAAGGCTCTGTTGAGTCGTTCCACAGGAAGAACACAACATGCCAGAGTCACAGCTGTGGGTATGATTAGCTCTGATACTTTTTGTCATTTTCTAAATTTTCTGCACGCCTAAGTATACCTGGGAATTTTTCCCTTCTGTGGACATCACAAGAAAAGCTAGCTGAATTTAGGAGCACTATTCAGATGTGATTTACAAATGTGTAATATATCAGAAGTGCAAAGAACCAGACAGAAATGGTCCAGCAGACAGTCCTCAGACATAAATTTCCTCTGCTTTCGGGATTCTATGTACGTCTGCCCAGGATAACTTCATGAGACGGAGCGCTGTTGTCGGAGCCGGATCATTCCTTCCTGGCAGACCTGCTCCGGCAAAGCTGGGATACTACTGTTAATCCCTTTTTCATTTTGATGTGTGCTGGTGTAGCACTTGAGATGGGATGGATAGAAATCAGGATATCTGTGTGACCGTGGAAACATAATTTATTTACTTGAACCAAGTTATCTTGTAGCAGGAGCTAAGAAAGCTGGATTCCTGAAGACGAAATGGCACTATAGGCTGGCTTCCTTCCGCAGAAGTTTCTGTTCTAGCTGAGAGTCTCTCAAACTACAGTTATGTCCCCAAATAACAAGCAAAATACTGCATTTGTTTGCCGGGACGGCTGCAATGAGGCCCTGGAAACACGAATGTGTCGTGTCAGGGTGCAGGAGTGCCAGGATCCCAGATGGGGTGCCAATGAGCTCCACACCCTCTGAAGCCATGGGGGGATGGGTCTGCATCAGGCCTCCCCCTCCCCCCGCCCAGCACCTCCCCTAGGGGACCCCCCCAGGTCCTGTTTTCCTGGAATGTTCCTATGCACATGTCTGTGTGTTTTATAAGGATGTGGTCACCTGGGGTCAGGGCCCCCCCATGGAACCTCATCTTGATGTGATCATCTACAGAGTGAGGTCACGTTCGCAGGCACTGGGGCGGCACCTCGGTGTCTTTGGGTGGGGGACCCATCACAAATACCTTCAAGCAACTGTCGCTATTTGAAGACAAAGGCTCTGTCATTTCAATTAATTTCAACATTTTTAGGAATTTCATTCCACTGAGGTGATAAAGGTAAAACAAAAATTTCACAAACTTTCTATTTTTTACTCCGCATAGATCCCCCTGTGGGGAGGCTTTCCTAGGACTGATGTTTGCGTGTTAAGCCATCTTGATTATCATAAAAGCTATGGAAGGAATGAATCATCTGAGTTCTTGGACTCTGAAAAAGATCAGGGGATAACCAAAAATGAATTCTTTTTTGCCACTTGAAGTGGCAGTTTAAACCAGGAGCACGATGGGGCATCTGGGGGCCTCAGTCGGTTGAGCGTCTGACTCTTAAGTTCAACTCAAGTCATGATCTCAGAGTCATGAGATTGAGCCCCGTGTCAGGCTCCATGCTCAACAGGGAGTCTGCTTCTCTCTCCATCTCCCCCTGCCCGCCACTGCCCCAGCACTCTCTCTCAAATAAATAAGTAGATCTTAAAAAAACATAGGTGCACAACTGAGCCTCCCCCTGAAACCATGGGTATCTGTGTACCTCACCTTTAGTAAAGGATGACCCTGTTCCCCGGTGGCTTGGAAGGAAGTGTCTAGCCCTGGTAGATTCTAGCACAGTGGTTCAGAGGGGGCACCTGCCACTTGGGGATGTGTTCATGACATCGAGGGGTGAGGCATGTAATTTGCAGTGGGACCAAGGGGAGAGGAAGAACAGAAGCCAGAGCTTCCCCACTGGACCCACTCCCCCTTTCTGGCATCCCCAAATCTTTCATCTTTAGAAGAGGAAGGGTCCTAATTACAGCAGGTGCCCTGGGCATGTCAGACCCAAGAATTTCCCCACTTACTACCCCAGGGTGACAATGTACGGGACTGGATCTGCAGAATTAGCGTGCTTGAGGAAGGGAGCCGTGGAAGTCTCTGGAACTGGGGACCCCTGTTCCAGGCCTGGCCACCTTCTCTCCAATGTCTCGCACTGCTGTGGATTGTCTGGAACTGGCTGAAGAGCATGACAATACTAGCCTTCGACCTCAGAAAGGTAGAACCCTTAGGAAGACTTTCTGTGCAGTGAGCAGAGCTCAGCTGTTTCCCAGAGACCCGTGCTGGCCAAGGGCACCTTCATAACGTAACTGCATTTTGTTTCCATCATCTTCCTCGCCCTGTTGTCAGGCAAGGAGCTAGGAAACTGGATCATCAAATTTCGGGAATGTGAGCTGACCTTTCAATGACCTTAGCATGCTGGGTGCCCTCCAGATGATGAGCAGGTTTGTTCCCAAAGCTGTGGGTGATGACGATTATAATCCTCAGAGATAGCTGATTTCTTGGAAGCTGAGTCAGAGGAGGGGGTGACCGTGCCAGGTCAGGAGAGTGAGGTGGGGCAGAGCATCAGACACAGAGGTCACCGGGACAGAGCAGAGAACCTAGAAATAGAGCCACACAAACAGGCCCAACCAGTTTTTTACAAAAGGGCAGAGCAATTCAGGGGAGGAAGAGCAGCCTTTTCAACAATGGTGCTGGCATAACTGGACAGCCAGAAGCAAGAAAAAAGAAAAACAGTGCTCCAACTTGCTCCTCACACCCTAGACAAAAATCAACGCAAAGCAGGTCAGGGACTCCAGTGAAAAATGTAGAACCACAACATTTTTGAAAAAAGAGGAACTAAAGAAGCAAATCATCACAATCCATAAGATCAAAATTAAAAGCTTTGATCTGCGAACCACCCTGGGAAAAGGGTAATCAGGCAACTAGAGACTGCAAACCACACTTCTGAGAAAGAACTAGTATCTAGAATATATAAAGAACTCCCAGAACTCAGCAATCAGTTACACATAATCCAGATAGAAAACAGACTGAAACACAAATGGACATTCCACCGAAGAGAATGTCCAGAGACTCACGAGAAGATGTGAGCCTCAGCAGCCCCCAGGGAGACGGAGAGTGAGACCAGAGAGCATCACCCCTGCACCCATGACAACGGCTCAAGTTAAACTAGGGACACTAAACGCGGCGTGCGTGCAGAGACCAGCTCTCTGCTCCATCACTGGTGGGGAGGGTACAGCCCCTCCGCAAAATAGGCAATTTCTCATAAAATGAAACACGAAAGCTTAGGATCCGGGAATGGTACCAAAAATGATTAATTTATCCCA